AGACTCTGCCTCCGCCATGCCCGCGGGCCTCGGGGAGCTGGGGCGGATGAAGCTGTCCGCGGAAGCGCAGAGAGCTCCGGGGACTGACTCAGCCCTTGTTACTTTCCTCAGCTGTCCCACCTCAGTTCTCCCAGCCCCGCCGCAGAGCTTACCTCAGCGAAGGCAGACAGCGAACCTGGGGCTGGGTGACTGCCTTCATCTGACTGAAGCCCTGACACCGAGGCAGGGGGAGGCTGACCTTACCACAGGCTTCTCCCCCGCCCACATAACCGGCACACCCTCTTCTCCTAGTCCCCATTCCCTACCCTGTAGGACAGGGACACCAGCGCAGCTTTCAGGACAGCCCCTCAGCTGTCCAACAACAGCCTGACCTTTTTTTATTACAAGCAACCAGGTTTAGCTTCAGCTACCTCATGTTCTGACTGCACCATGGAAATCATGGAGTTTTGCGGGTCCTCCTGACTCATCTTCATCCTGGGTCTTGCCCCTGTCTGCGTGGAGTTCTGGAACATAATGAAGTCGGTGTGAGCAGGGCGTGGGTTGGCAATTAATTCACACCAGGTATATGGAGAGCTAGAGTCTTTGAGAACCGCCTACTCGAGCACTATCTTCATCTGGGACACAGGCATGGCCTGCCACTTCTCATCCTCAGCCTTGCTGCACATAAAATAGATGGTTTGGGTTCCTTTTTTTGTCATTGTTTTTGTTGCTTTCATGGATTTGTTTGGGTTTTGCAGAAAACACCCCAAAAAACTCAGGACTTCACTCAGTTTTGCTATAGGCTTCTATAAGAGCTGGTATTTTATTGTTAGCCCCCCTGTATTTCACATCTTGAGGCACAGGGATACTAATTCTATTAATTCATTGCTCCTGAAGAGAGAATTAATGGGGGGGAGGATAGTAAAAACATCACGTCAGGGTTCACACTGTCGACTTTTGCTACTGTGAGGTAAATGCAGGTTTACCAGCTGTTAGAGATTGCAGAGGATAATGGGAGCACAGTAAACATACTTCGGGATGCTGCCACAAGTTGACTTTAAGAGCTTTAATTTAAAAAAAATACTCCACTTCTCATGGGAAAAAAGCTATACCCCTCTTCTTAGTTTGTTTTTCTCCGAGTAGATCAATAACATGCTTTGAACAAAATACCTGTGTGCTGGCCTGGAATGAAACAGGTGAACACTTTTCTCAAGCACTTCGTAGGGAACAGCAAAAACACTTTTAGACTAAGTTGAAATCTCATACACTGAAAATTCTGTGATTATAACTTGTACGAGGGTCTGACAGAGGAACATTTTCCAGATGTTTCTCACCAAAATTTAAAAAGTCCAAAGTTTTCAGAAAAGACTTTAAAGCTTCCTTTTAAAGAGGACTGAAGACTCTTTGTCCTAAGAACCGATTAAACTTTGTCAGCCTTCCCTAGTGTTTTACATACTTTTTGGAGTACTTGGTCATCTTTACTGGGGAAGCTTTAAGTTGAGAGCTTCAACTGAATTCTATATGCAGCAGAGGATCTTGCTGACAGGGAAGATCCATAATGGATGAGAGCACAGTAGAGCTGGAACACTTCAAACTGCAAAGAGAGTGTGAATAACTGCAAGAAAGGGCACAGTAACTCTATATAGATCAGACATGATTCATACTCAAAAAATTGTGTTAACTCTATTTACCAGCTACACTCTGCTCAACGAATGCTGAAATACTTTATAAAAAAAAAATCTTTAAAGATTAAAAAAATCAGTATTCTATCTTGTCAAAGTCTCCTGCTTTCTAGAAAGCTAAAACACATTTAGCAGAAAGGGGAGGATGGCGGACACCACACAACAGAGTAATTTTCTTTAAAAACATACGAAATCAGACTAAAAAGTCTATTACATGTAACATACATCTTCCACTCCAGTTCATGTAGAATTCGACAGCTGAATACCTTGCTCAGATTTCGTGGGAGACTTTTCAAGTTTATTACACAATTTATAGATACTTAAAATACTTTATTTCCATTATAGTCTTCAGATCATGAGCCATGCTTAAGATTTTAGCATTGCAGACCCAGGACCCTTAAAGATACTCAACTATCTTCAGTAATGTAGCTGATAATTCACAGCTACTTTAGATAACCTGAGGGTTACACCAAATGCTTCCAATTTTTCATCACATCGTATCACAGTTCTCTTTGGTGGGTGTTCTGACAGATGAGCAGGCATAGAGAGATACAGGAGCAGTATTAAGAGGGCCCAACTAATAATTTAGTAAACAAGATGGCGTCCTCTGGAAAAAAAACAGGATGTTAATGGCATCAACCTACCAGTATAAAGTCATTAATCAGAACTGTGGAGAGCACTAATTTTACCATTTTCTAGCTCTTGAATACTTACACGCATTTAGTTTTCATAGTGAACTGCTGACAGGAGAGGAACTAAGATGAATCCCACAACGTGGAAGTAATTTTCAAGATGGAAGTCTTCACCTTACAGTGTTTCCCTGCTACACAACTCACACTCACCAATCCATTTCACTCACGGCTCCCTGTCCAGTTCCCTCTGCCTGTCAGGGTGCTTTCTTCTCCACAGTGCCTGTGCCTTGGAAGAGTAAAAGCACACAGGAGCTACCTCTGCTCTCAAGGGCAGCACAGTCATGAGGAAGTCCCGCTCCATCTGGACTCCAAAAGCTCAGCACAGAACGCCAGCAGAACTTGAGTGTAAAACTAACGAGTCTAATGACATATGCTGTAGTTCTTCAAAACACTGTCATTTTCATCACTGCAGGAAGTTTTGTTATCCTCACAGCCTTTTAGGCCAAAGGAATGTAATTTGTTTGCTAATAATTCAGGGCAAACTAGAACAGTAAAAAGAAAACTTCCAAGAGGATCTATATTCTGGCAGCTCCTGTTCTCCCTCAGCTGAAGGTCATGAAGGTACTTTGGAAGATTCCAAATCCAGTTGTAAGAATTTGGCAAGTTACACACTACTGAAAAGAAGTGACAGGTGAAAACTTAGGCTAATGATAATGGTAGGCATTATTGTCTCAACCACGTTATATGAAAATACAACACAGCCTTAATTAGCAAGAATTGAGACAGCGATGATGTCCACATTTAGGAAGCTGTTCATCCTAACTACTTGCATTTTAAGACAGGGTTCTCAAGTTTTGAGAAATAGCACACAAGGGACTTTTTAAGAACAGAGATGCACTCTTCCATGGTCCCCATAAAACTGTCATGCTTGAAATTAAGAGACTTGGCTCCCTATCAAAACTGTAACTAAAAGCCAATACTGGACAATACACATTGTTTTGTTCATGCCCATTAAGTTTTTCTATGGCATGAGTATCATCAGAAACAAAAATCTTCACTCTTCTATTGCTGTTTTGTTATCATGGGAATTCTATTTTCGGATTTAGTTCACGGAGTTATTGCATATGCTATTTTGTATTAAAAGTTCAGTATAAAACAAGACAAAAGCAATAAAATCAAATCATTCAGTCTTGTAAGTCAGACATCCTCTCGCTTTGACTTGAGTTATAGTTTAAGAGCTCTTTTCTTGTTAAACGAGCATGGTGAATCTTGTATAGCAGTACAGCTGAAGATGCATAGTATACACTAATAACCAAGAACTGAAACAAAATCAGCTGATTATACATGAGCTTTAAGTCCTTTGACAAAGTACTCTGTTGGTAAAGTCTGCTTCTGGCTTAGATGTTTAATCCGGATAAATCTTCCTCCCTGCGAGAGGTACATACAGCCTCTTCAGCTTAAGAAAGTAACATGAATAAGATCAAGTAACATTAAAAGCACGAGTAGTCCACCACAGTTCTTACCACCTTCCCATAAAAAAAGGTACAGAGAGAACTTATTTATACATCATATGAAGTATTATTCTGTTTTATCTTCATCCTCGGCAGCATAGATAGCTTGATTCCTTCTCTTAATTTTTTTAATGCCACTGTTTCCATTTTCATTACCACCAATGCGCTTTAATGGTCTCTCATTTAAGCTCTTCTCTTCCACCTGCTTACTCACACCAGATTTCTCCAGTTCCTCGTTAGTGGAGTCCATAGCATCATCAGACGATACCGCCATGGAATCTGGCATGATCCGGATGTCAGAAAAACTTGCAGAAAAGTCAGGAGGATGATCAGGGGAAGGATCTACAGAACATGTACTCAAGTCTTCATCGCCCCCTTCTTCATCCAGCATTATTTCATCTGGATTAAAGGATGAAAGTCCAGAATTATCTGTATTATATTCACTGGGTTCCTCTGCTGACCCAGTACTGTCCATCTCCTCTTCCTCCTCCTCCTCTTCATATTCGCCTCGTACTGAGCCCTCTTCTTTAGCTTGCTGGATCCTGTCATTGATGTCAGTGAGGCCAAACTGGGCACAAAACTCGGTGGTCTGTGGATTGATGGTATGAACTGGTTCCACGTGTTTTTGGGGCTTGCTGGGATCATAACAAGCAGCTGTCAATGTGAAGTTACAAGGAATTTTGAGGTTATGATTCAGCTCTTCTAACACCTCTTTGATGGCTTCTTCTGTCGCACTGTAATCCCACCTAAATAAGTGTATGAAGTTTAAACAAGTGCAGCTAGTCAAAAGGTACTTCCTATTCCCACTGCAAATAGAAACTTTTAAAGATGGATAATAAATTAATCTTACAACAGACACCTAAATCCTCAAATGATTTTTCAGGAAAGTATATAGCCTTTGGTCAATACTGAGATTCCCCTCTCCCCACCAAGGATTTGTGTATTATGTCAACCCACTCAATAAGCATTCACCCGCCCACCTCCATAATCCAGCCTGATTTCCAGTCTTACAGCGTAACTGGCAAGATGATCAGCCACCATCTACTTTTTGCCCCTCAAATGGTGGTATCTAAGTTTGCAAAACAAAACTAACTGCCCGTGTAGAGCAGTAATGAAGTTGTCTGCTCTACAGCGCAGGTTTTGTCACCATCCCCTTTGTTTCCAAGGCCTTTAGCAAGTCCTACAGGCATTACAGGCTGCAGAACAGAGAAGCACAACAGTAAGTTTACTTCCAGTCCAGCAAAATCCCACTTTCCTCTCTACTTTGCATGCAGCTTACTTTGCATGGAGGCCATTATTTTCAGGCATATTCCACGAGCTCTGAGTCACATTAACAAGACTGTTGGTGGCCTTGAGGACTGCAATCCACTCAGCATCATACTCCAGCGAGTCACCTGCACTAGGATCATGTTCTATGTCTATTATCTATTTAAAAAAAAAAAAACCACAGAAAACAGATGAGGTGAGTTATTTCTCTTGACATCAGAAACTGATTAAAATTTCAACTGTTACTTTCATGGTATAGAGTTTTAATTAAGTTTCAAGTACACTGAGCTAGTGGTCTCAATCAAACAAGTCCTCTCAAGTTAGCCCTACATAGAATTTTATAGCAATAAGGGGCTAAGAAAGGACAATCAACAACAGTAAAAAAGGCATTTCCGTATTTTAGCTTACGGCAATTAAGAACACCCTTCTTCCTACTGCCAGCTACTGGACAGTTACGCAACTTAGAAACCAGAATTTCCCTAGTATTAAGTTCATGCCACCTTCTAAGCAGATATACATCAAGAGTTGACAGCAACAGTTATTCTGCTGTATAAACACACATTCTAAGCACAGCAATGAAATTAACATGAAGTGTTTTTAAACTCTTTCAACAGCTGATGAATTGAAATTCAAATCATTTTGTCTTCAGTGACATTAACCCAAATCAAACCATTCGGTTTAGCCAAACTGCACTAGTCAGGCTAGTTAAATTATCCATAAAGTAATTCAACCTTGTAAGATAGTTTTAGGGGACAAAAAAAAAAAAAGGATATACTTTAAACCAGAGCTACACACAGGTGGATCACCAAGCTGCTGGAGGTAGTACTACTCCAGATCAGTTTTGCTACAGAATTCTAAGTGTGGACTAGCACTCCAGTGTACCTTTGCATAGCAAAAGCCCATCCTCATGCTCTCTCCCATCTTCAAAGGTAGCTACTAGGGCAAATGGATCCCACCACACACCCAAAGGACAGATAATGAACCATCTTCCCTTTAAGTTGACAAATAAGAGCTAGTTTAAAGTAACGCTACTAAAATACTTGACTGCATTTGAAGAACATGCTGTCAGCAGCTCCCTCTCATAGCAAAGGATTTTAGATTCATCCATTTGAGATTTTGCAGATGGCACTGCAGGCAGCACACAGGCCACAGACACGTACATTGTTTTGCTCTTGGCAAATCAGTTTGGCACTCATATTGAAAATTCCCACAACCTAGACCTCCTACTTGGCCACTGCCCTTCCTAGCCAAGATATGCACCAAATAAAAAAGAAGCAGAGCCATTTTTCCTGCTGGAACTCACAATACTGAAAGAAAATTGCAGCACTCAACTTAGGACTCAATCCTGTCTGAATTAATGAATACAGATCTGAAGAAAGAGTCCCCGTCGGACCCAAACCGGTCTGGGAAGAAAAGAAAAGCCTCAAGATGGGCTTTCTTTTTAGGTTTGACATTTGTCAAAAAAGCACAAGAGGAGATTCCGTTCAGGTTAAGGTAGAGCTACTTCTGCAATTAAGTCAAGTACTTGTTCTAAGGTGGAAGGAAATGGTAGGAATAAGCAAACACTATGCCTGCATGACAGAACACAAGGTCTGCTTAGTTCAAGACAATATTATACAGTGACCATTCCACACATGCACCATTCCTAGTTTCTTTCCAATTCCTCCACTTATCAGAACTATTCTTCAGCTTATATCTACACACAGCACTTAGCAGTCCAGACAAGTGAAATACTTAAAAAGTGAAAACCCACTGCACATGGTCATCACCTGCAGAAAGTCTCTGTGCGGCAGACATTTATCCAGAGCCAAAAACTTTGTTGCTTTTGGTAGCTCTTCTTTGGAGTTTGTCTAGGAAACAAAGGTGTTAACACAGTCATTAGCATTTCTATGAAATTTGACCATTCTAAACAAATTATATAGAGAGATTTAAAGGCATAATTTATACAAAAAAGACTTTCTGAAATAGAAAGTCAGCATGGGATTATAAGAAAGAGATGGAGGAACAAAGAGAAAGAGAGACTTCACTGGAAGTCTAACAGGAAGCTGGATCCAGATGACAGCAAGATAAAGCAAGAGCCACCCTTCATCCTTAACCAAGGCAGCTGAGCACACCTAGCCTCGAAGCAAAAAGAAAAACTTTAACATAATTGGAAACAGACTTATTGAGTCTAAAAGGTCTAGAGTTACATTTTTACAGCTAAATAACTTGCAAATAGGAATAGCACGTCACACCACTTTCAGGAATAACTCAAACCAAGCAAAGTTTCAACCTACAGGAGCTGGTTTTTGGCTTTACCCAGGCCACCAGACAACTTCATCTGCCAAGCCTTACTACAGGCATCCTCCCATCCCCGGTTAAGCACTATCTTCTTTTCAGTCGCTTCTCTATCACCTTGTTTTGAAGTTGTCTCCTTCCCCAATAAAGTGGGAAAGAGAGTGCTTTTCTATAAACTTAAATTAAGAAGTTTCAAGTGCAGTTAGCTATTTCACGCTGTCCCTGAAGAAGATTAGGTAGTTACACCATTGATGTATAACATCTCTCTAACTTAACACAAGCTAGTAGTCTTAACACCACTTAATGCTTTGCGGCTTAAGCTGAGTTTTAATAAGTGAGCAAAAACATTAAGAAGTTGCTTTTCTGGACATGATTACCTGCACTGGAATTCTAAAATGTGCTTGGGACACATACATACTTGATTTTTTTTTTCCTCTTTACCTGGTGTTGCATGAAAGCTGCAAATTTAACATGAAGATGTGCTGAGAACCAGTAGGTGGGTTTCAGATGCTGCAGAAGCTCTGAAGCAGCAGGGCTTCCTAATGTGTTGCTCTCCACTTCTTGACGGAAGAACGATTTCATTTTAAGAAGTTGTTTCTTGTTTCCATAGTGATATATGCTCCTTGGCCAGTCATGTGACATAAATATATCAATTGGATGCTTTAACTGTCAAGCCAAAATGCATATGGTATAAATAAAATACAGACGATAAAGAAGTTTCAAAATTACACAGCACAAGATGGAACATGTGTAACATGTTCTACCTCAGATCAGTACAGAGTTAGCTGTGACGAACGGCCTCACTTTCAAAGCAAGTAAGTACACCACTGAGCCCACCTTTCAGGTGGCCTTTGAAGTTGTCAAGGGACTCTAGTCTCCATGGTTCGTACTACACTTCCTTGGGACAGTCAGCTGTGTTTTATACATACTGCCTTATAAAAGAGATCATATCATCACAAGTAAGTGTCAGGCACTCAGAAGACGACTTTTAAAAATTACAGCTATAGAGCAAGTTCTCTACCCACAGTCAAAGGCATCTTCTTTCTCACGAAATTTTTAAGAGCTTTGTTTAAAAGGGATACTGGCTAAGCGTGATATTCCTCCTCAAAGGAAGTACCCCTCAGAAGTCTAATCAATGTCTTAAGCATGTCTTGGTTCAATATTCAGCATATTTCCATCAGCTGTATCAGAACACACTTCTAGATGAAACTGAAGTCCAACTAATAAGAAACCTACAGTGAAATGCATCAGACTTTTTACAATGACAGCAAACCTTTGTCCTATATTCAGCATCCCTATTTCTACCGAACACTCAAGTGTGCAACTGCAATCTGAATAATCATTCACAAGACACTTATAAATACATGTATTCACACCACAACCTCAGCCAAATGGAGTAGCCCTTGTGACAAAGCAGGGAATAGGCAATAGCTCAAAAATAAAGCTAATCTGTCCTTTGAATTTCTCACCCTGGAGTTAAAGATACTTCAACCACAGAAATTTGGCATCAGCTTATTCAGCTGGTTCAATTTTGATTAGTTAACTTTGTACCAACCAGCTTTCATGTTAGACAAGGTAGCATCCATCTTTCTAAAACTAACAAAGCTGGAACAGAAGTGTATAGCTGGAGTTCCTTCCATACTGTGAATTTTATCCAACTAAAAACAAAAAACAAAAAAACAAAAAACCCACAAAAAACAAACAAACCCACCACTCCTGCCTGTGCCAGATTCAGATCAAATTTGCACTGCTACACAAAGCATTGGAGGAGATATTCAGCAGG